ATGTCTCTCAGGCTGCAGGACTCGGCGTAGGCCTCCAGAAACTGGCAGTCGAGACCGTCCACCGCCGGGTAGTTGCACAAAGTGTCGTTGCAGGCGGCCACGTAGGAGTCCGTGTCCACGTGTTGGTGACAAGCATCGAAGGGGGGCTGATTCAGGAGCTCACAGCTGATCCAGCCATGCAGAGAGGAGGAACCAGAGGACAGTCCCATGAAACCCTCCCTGGTCACATGACAGCGTGGTGGCACATAGAAAGGTACCATGCAGAGGACTCCATGCTGTCTGAAGGGGGGTCTGCTGGTTAAAAGGGTCACTTCTTACCGGTCAGCTGAGCGGCTGCAGGTGATGGAACTGTCGGTGGTGTCGGTGTGTAGAGTGTCGCAGCTAGGGGGGGACAAGCAGCCCGTCACACGAGATCCAGACACCACATCAGCCAATAAGAAGGACCATCAGTCAGCGCATCAAGTTAAGACTGTACGTACCCAGCCGAGGAGATCCGTTCAGCATCCAAGGTGGTGGTCCAGCTTTCATTAGTGGGGTTACCACACAAACCCTCTAAGGAGACCTTTGGTCCTGTTTGATATCAGGAGACAATTGGAGGCAAACCAATGACCTTTGACTCTAACAAGCACAGATTTATTCTGACACTGGGTCCAGATTGAGGGTCCTGTACCTGACACGTGTGCCGTGTTGCCATCAAACACGACCGTCATCTTGGAGGAGGGCAGCTTGGCGGTCACTCCAGTCTGGTCCTTGGAGAGCTCCACGCCGTGGACCAGCTGAGCCGTGGTGTTGAGATCCAGGATCTGGTCACCGACCTACATCCCAGCAGAGAGGAAGCATGAAGGAACCACCGGCTTAAAGGTCCCATCTAATATTCTCTCTGCATATGAGGGGCTGAAGTCAGGACCACGTGACAGCTTTCATAACCAGTTACTTCAGATGGAGATTATGGGATCCAATTAAACATGATGAGTTACTATGGATCCAGTGAGAAGAAGTCAGTGTCTGACCCCTTAAAGCTGTGAAATACATCACAAAGTACCTCCTGGCTCATAATGACCTTCAGAGATGAATCAAACCCCCCATGAACACACGGTGTTCAGATGGATGGTAGCAGCTCACCCGGACTCTTCCACCTTGTTCCAGGTGAATGTCTCCAGCTGTCTGACTTATGGTCAAATAGTCCAAGAAGGACACATCTGTACGGCGTCGCTCACGGAACCCCCCGATGAGTTGCACACCAGGTCCTCCTTGAGGCTTCATCAGAGCGTATTCACAGCGATCCTCCACCGAGTGGACCTCGCCGTGGAAATTGATGAGGGTGGAACCAGTCACAGTGCACACAGAGGGGGGGGGTTTACACCTGATGGAGATGCAGAGACACAGGTTGAACCGTCAAAGACACGGAGACATTTAACCAGGACGTCTTCATCTCCTCCACAAAGTCTGAGAGGCTTCAGGTGTCTTTCAGTCCACGTGGAGCACTTCATTTAAATCAGTCAAACCTTCATTCACACTTCATACAAATATAAAAAGAACATATTTACGTGTTGTTGCCGAGGCAAACGTCTCCGGGTTCACATGAACTGAGGACTGCAGACGTACTACAGAGTAAAGTGGAACAGTTCTCTGGGTCCGATATCTTCTCACCGTATCGTAAAGGGACACCTGGGAGGGGACAGGAGGTTTGAGATGGAGTTTGATACGAGCTTTAAGAGACAGAAATAACTGACATGTTAAGAGATCACATTTATCAGAGGAGCCCTGAAGAGCCCCCCTCCCTTTATATGGAGACCTGATTGGCTCACCTGAGTGCCTGCAGGAGCTCACATCAAAGTACGATATTCTGTCTCTAGTAGTCCATGAATCCACAGTCAGGGTCCCGACCTTCGCAGTTAGCAACTAGAAGGACATGTGACACATCAAGGTTAAACTGTGGGACTGAGGGACCAGTCTAGAACATTGACCTCAGCATCACATGACCAGAAGTCAACCTTTGACCTCCACAAGAACTACTAAAGATCATTATTCTAATAAGCTGTGCTCATAGTGACCCAGTTTGTCCCTCTAATGAAATACTAATACATTCAAAAAAATAGAAAATACGTTTTAACAATTCACAAGTAGCTAGAAGACGTTTCAGTGAAACACAAGCGAATACCTTAATACGTTTCAGTAAAACACATCAGAACATTCACAAGTTTGTACAAACTGAGTAGATTTCTGACAGCCTTCGTTTGAAGAGGAAAAGAATCAAATGTTTGAACTCCAGATGGTGAGAAGAGTCTTTGAGGACTCTTCAGACTCAATGGAACTAAAACGTGAACGAACCGCCGGATCGACTCTTCTGGCTGAAGATCAGCTTCAGCTTCCCCTGCTAGGGACCATTGGTTTGAGGTCAGATGTTGCCGTGGTGACAAAGGTACAGCTGGTAGATACTTACAAGATCTGAGTCAAGTGCAGTCTGAAGAAATACTAACAAAGCTGTTTGTGGTCCAAAGCTGAGGAAAGCTAACACAACCTGAACAAAGAGAAGAAACAGAATATGAGCAAACATCTCCAAAACCATTCAGAACAAAACTATGGTTTGAAGTTCTCTTCATCAAACGAAGTATGAAAATGTTCAACATTAGAAAATACCATCAGAGTACAAACATGAAACGGATGATGACTCACCTTTGGCTCGGAATTGCTTATGAATTGAAAATACAAAAAGCAACTTGATGTTCCCTTTATGTTCGGCAGATCAAAATTAGATGCTGATTGCATACTGGGAAAACCCCCCACTTCCACCTCGTCTGATCCCGACGTTTGATTCAGCGTCAAACAGTCTTGAGGTGGATCGTTGGCGCCGTCCATGAAACAAATTACCAAAGAATCCTTCAACCTCACCTGAAGACACAGAGACAGGTTCATCTGTTAATAAGTCAAAGCATCATTACCAGAGCTGCCAACTCTCACGCTTTCACCGTGTGACACACACTGTTTTCACACGCACTCACGCCACACGCCAACTACAAAAATGAGTAGTACTTTTGTCCGAGCCGCGTTCCTCTATAACGTCCCCGTCGGCCGTATTGTCTGCGATCTATTATTATTATTAATAATTTAATATAATAATCACACAACAGACTTGTTTTATTACAAATAAACATCTGATCCCTTAGAAAACAACTGCACACCCTCATCAGGGTCACAGGCGTGATGACGAGAGGTGACATGTGACATGTGTCATGTGACAAGTGTCACAGTGTAATAACTGAATGTTGTTGTAGGTAAAGGAATGTCTGTCAGATAACAGCAGTAAGAGGCTTTAGTTTTACTCACGTCCATCCATGAGAATGAGCGTCCATAGAAGGTGATGGGACACGAGCTGATGTCCACCACTCCACCAGAAATATCAATTGTTACTCGTTGAGATATGGAGACGTCCACCTGGCTGGCAGCAACTACAGCGGGAATGTGAAAGAACATCACATGTGAATTAATACGCTTCTCTCCTCACTCACTTCAGTCTGCAAAGATCAGTTTACTCTGAAATGGACTTCAAGTCGTTAAGATAAAGGTTGTAAAGTCCACTTCCAACGGCTGCTCACCTGCCAGCAGGAGGAGCAGAGCACCTGTCTTCATGGTGGAGAAGAGGCAGGAACAGGTGGAGAGACTCTTCATGTAGAGACAGGAGAAACACTCTTTAGTCCCTCCATGCACACAGTGTGAGGGACAGTGTGGAGGATCCTGCTTCTCAAAAGGCTCCTTGTTGTCTCTAAAGCCACCACATGGAGCCTGAGTGGACTCCTTAGAGGGAAGCTCCTTCACCGAGTTAGTACGAGTACAAAAGGCTCCATGTGAGCTGTTAGATGAGGCCCAGGACGGGATGAGGAAACACAAAGTATTACTGGTGCTGAAGGGTTCCTTCTATTTGGAGAGGAACACTCAAAGCTTCTGAGATCACACTGACTGGAGTTTACTCCACACGGGTGGAGCTAAACCACGGAACATTTGGTGCAGAATCAAGGAATTAAAAGATCCTAAATAATAACAGCGATGAGCATTTGGTCGATATGAAGTCGGGCAGAGAGGAAGAGGATGCAGCTGCTCTTACCTTGTGGAGGTCGGGTGGAGCAGCAGGGAGACGGAGCTCTGAAGATGGAGATCAGTGAAGTCTCTCAGGAAGATGTGCCTGCTGCGTCTCCGTCCTTTATACTGCTGCTTCTCTTCACGCCCAGAAGACTGATGTAACTTTGACATCAGAGCAGAGACGTGGGGTTTCGGAGGTAAACCTGGATTCTATTGAACTGGTTCCTCAGCATTCTGTCCTGGTGGCTTTGGACCTGAGAGCCTCAGGTGCTTCATAACAAACGACCTGTCACAATGTTCCAGAAAGTCGACATGGAAAGAAGATGTAAGAGATGTTACAGTTATTAGATGTGTGTTGTTGTGCTTGATCTTCTCTGGCGTCTTCAGTGTGTCCTTCACCTTCTCACATCAATCAATCCTCCTTCCACACTGAGCTGCTTCTTCTCAGTTGTGGTTAGAAGATTCCTTCCAGACTGCACACGCAGAGCAGATGGTCGTGTTCAGAACATTCTTGGCGATCATGTGTTTATTCATTAGTAAACTTAATCTATTCATCCAGTTTATTCTTGTATTTTCTTTCTAGTCAAATCAACGGATCTGTGATCGTCTGATCCCTTTGGATCCGACTGAACACAGCGAGCCCATGGGGGTTTTATTTTGAAATGACGGGATGGGCTGAGGGACAAAGAGAGAGAGCGAGAGAAAGAGCGAGATAGAGACAAGCCAAGAGAGAGAGTTAATGAAAGATAACGAGAGAGCGAGAGACAGCGAGGGAGACTGGAAGTGAGTGGAACAAGAGAAAGATGGACCATGAGACCAAAGAGCGAACGAGGACAGACAGACGCATTAAGATGCGTTTGCCTGAATGACTCCAATCAATCACTCCTGTTATTGATTGACAAGCCTCATCACAAGCAGCCGAGTTCATTCCACCATGGGGATTTTATTTTGAAATTACAGGATTGGGTGAGGGGGAGGGGGAGTGAGAAGACAGACTGAAAGGTCATTAAATGATGCAAGAATCACAGATAGTTCCTCTAAGGAGGCTTTTCACCTGCGTGAGGTGCGTCTCTGTGCGGTTGCCACGGTGATGGAGGTCAGGTTAACGTGGCCAGTCCCAAAAGTATGAACAGTATGAGATGCGGGACCGTCTGGAAAACTCATGAATATTGAAAAAAGTTGACTAGATATCAAAAAGCTGTTTACAGATTGAGGATGAAGAAGCATTTGCAAGTTGAAGAAGCTTCAGAAAGAATTCCACTGGAAAACCACGTTAAAAAGTGAATTCATTAATTCAAGCAGAAGATGTAGAAAGCTCAAAAGTCAAAGCTGGACACATAAAGATGAAGATGTGAAGAACAAAGGTTGAATGCTGAAGCAGCGTTTGATGTTCTGACAAATCTGTTTGAGTCACTTGGTCTCCAATTAAGTTAAACCAAGCTAAACTAATCAAATGTGGCTGGACTAGCTTGTAGGAGCGGATCCTACGGTACGACAGGTGTCCCTGGGGTCCTGCACGTCCACCTGTCCATCCCTGGTATCTGTGCACCACCTGATCAGCCCCTCTGGCCTACAGGAGCCCGCTGAAGACGGCTCAGATCGGAGAATCCTGCCCTGGTGCCTCGGGTGCTTTAAAACCGGTTTGTGACAAACGACCCGTCCGAACCTTCTAAAGGAGAAACGATTGGATTTGATAAATGTCTGTTAAATGATATACTTTAGCGGCATTGACACCTTCACCTCCACCCTCAGGGCAAACAACAGGAGCAGGGAGCAGCTGGAGGAGCTGAATGTCTGTGAGACGTTTTCACACGTTCAATAGACACAAAGGTCAGGGAACTTCATCTGGTGGAGCGGAGTGGAGCGGAGCGCCGAGGGACCGGGCGGAGACGGGGGAGGACCAACCACCAGGTCAAAGACCCGCTCCAGCTGAGCCTGAAGGAGGGACGACTGGAACGACAACAACAACAACAACAACGTCGTCACTCTGGGGTTGAAAGAACATCTGGAGACAAACGCTCGCCTGATGTGATCGCTACCACCTGGTTGAGCCCTAGAGAAGAAGACGATGATGTCATCAAAGAGCGACTTATTCGCCAAATGTGGTTCCTCTCTGTTTCTGATGGATGAGCTACTTTCTGTCAGGGTTGGGGGTGGAAGGCAGGACTCAAACGCAGAGTTGTCAGGAACACAAAGGACTTTAATAGTCAATGGTCAAAAACACAGGAACCGGGAGGAAAAGCAGCAGGCAACATGTGTGACAAAAGACAAGGACATGCGTGGCTAAAGACAATGACGCGACAAGTGACACAGGAGACACACGGCTTAAATACACAAGGGAGGTGCAGGTGATTGGACACAGGTGGAAACTATTAAGACGATCACAGGGGATGACGAGACAAGGCACGAAGTGAAGTTACCCGGGGACACGAGTGGCAGAAAACTACAAAATACAACAGGAAGTGAAACCACACCGTGACACTTTCACACCTCAGTCGGGTTTTAGATGAAAATGCAAACGTGAAGAAATAAAACAGTGTCTCAGAGGTCAGAGGTCACCCACCCTGGATCCACAGCGAGCAGCGATCTCCTCAAAGGGAGCAGTCTGAAACCTCTCCACCACCTTCATCCTCCTCTTCCTCAACTCCTCTTCCTCGCCGCCTCGGTCTTCTGCACGGGAGCAAACAGCGATCGATCAGCTCTTGAATTGATCCACGAGGAGCGATCAGCTGGTTCACCTTTAAACTCACCGATGGTGCTCTTCAGGGTCTCAAAGGTGATCTGCTCCACCTGAGGGCTCTACAGGGGGGACAGACAGGTCCGTCAGAAGGACAGGTAGACAGGTAGAGAGACAGAGAGACAGACATGCTGATCAGACAGACGGGTAGAGACAGACACGCTGATCAGACAGACAGGTAGAGACAGACATGCTGATCAGACAGACGGGTAGAGACAGACATGCTGATCAGACAGCCGGGTAGAGACAGACATGCTGATCAGACAGCCGGGTAGAGACAGACACGCTGATCAGACAGACGGGTAGAGACAGACACGCTGATCAGACAGACGGGTAGAGACAGACACGCTGATCAGACAGCCGGGTAGAGACAGACATGCTGATCAGACAGACAGGTAGAGACAGACACGCTGATCAGACAGACAGGTAGAGACAGACACGCTGATCAGACAGACGGGTAGAGACAGACATGCTGATCAGACAGACGGGTAGAGACAGACATGCTGATCAGACAGCCGGGTAGAGACAGACACGCTGATCAGACAGACGGGTAGAGACAGACACGCTGATCAGACAGACGGGTAGAGACAGACACGCTGATCAGACAGCCGGGTAGAGACAGACATGCTGATCAGACAGACAGGTAGAGACAGACACGCTGATCAGACAGACAGGTAGAGACAGACACGCTGATCAGACAGACGGGTAGAGACAGACATGCTGATCAGACAGACGGGTAGAGACAGACACGCTGATCAGACAGACAGGTAGAGACAGACACGCTGATCAGACAGACGGGTAGAGATAGACATGCTGATCAGACAGCCGGGTAGAGACAGACACGCTGATCAGACAGCCGGGTAGAGACAGACATGCTGATCAGACAGACAGGTACCTGCTGTGCACAGTACTCAGGCTGCATGTCTATCTGCAGGGAGATGACATCACCGATACTCTTCCTCTTAGAAAGACGGTCCTCATCTAAAACACACAAAACGTAGTACACGGCGAATACTAGAAGTACTCTTTGTACTAGTACTGAGAGTATAAATAGTTTTCAGTAGTACTCTCAGTACTACTAGAGACAGGTATCTCCCTTACTCGTTCTCCTCATCAAAAACACACACAAAGTAGTACACGGCGAATACTAGTAGTACTCTCAGTACTACTAGTTGCACATGTACACACACACACAAATATATATATATATATATATATATATATATATTATATATATAATATGTGTATGTATATAATATGTACATAGAGTTTGTATCCTTATGGTTGAAATGCACTTATTGTGAGTCCATGACTGTAATGTATGAATAAAGACACGCGTGTGTGTGTACCTGTTATCTGGGGTGTGTAGGCCGTGTTGAAGCGCTCCGTGTGAGCGCTGTAGCTACTTCCTGTCAGAGCCTCGCAGAGCTTTGATTGGACGAACAGCAGCTCTTCATCTACCTTCAGCTCACCAGCTGGGAGACTGACACACACACACACACACACACACACGCACACACACACACACACACACATACACACACACACACTCACACACACACACACACACATCATGATTTCATCTTTTATTTCGTGGAAGGCTGCGGTCACATGACGTATGATGTCATTCCTACCTGTGTTTGTCAGAGAAGAGCTCGTCAGGCAGCAGGTGTGCTGCGTTGCTATGACGACCCTCTACTACCTGAAAGAAGATGGTCTTGAGGTGAACAGTGCAGAGGGGACTATAGCGCCATGTACAGGGGTGACCTTTGCCCCCAGGGGGGCTGTTATGCTCACGAACCCACGACGAAAAGGTTCCAATGAAACAGAATTAATAAAAGTAGTTGTGATACAAAACGAGTCCCGGCAGCTTTGAGCCACCAACAAAGTTCTACACCTTATTTACTTTCCCCATCAGGAGCGTAGCCGCCTCTCATTGGTTAAACGTGTCAAACCAATGCAGCCGCTTCCACAAAAGCAGGTGTGGTTTTGTACATTGATGCATTTCTACAGTATCTACGGTACTATTATATATATCTACTGTACTACATACTGCGCATATTTATTTGACCTTTGCTGATATCTCCAGGTACTTGAGTACAGTGTAGAACGCAGTACTCATACAGCAGTATTTTCTCTCTGTGGTACTCCACCTGAGTGACGTGGTGCTGGAGAGCTGGAGGCGGGCCCAGCTGGGCCAACAGGTGGAGGAGGGCGGCGCAGACGGCGTGGATACCGCAGCGGTTAAACACCGACAGACACTCCTGATTGGACAATGCCAGCTCCTGGCCGGCACAATCACAGAGAGCGACTCATCAGCGAACATCTGTCTTTAT